AACTCCGATCTATACCCTCTGCATAACTGAAGGGCGTCAGCTAAGAGGAGCGGGCATAAACTATTAAAAGGAAGAACAACTACTCAACATCTGACGCATCCCGGCAAATACGTGAGTTTCCGAGGCCAGTGTGCATGGCCTCCAATTCGCGTACGATTGCGCGCCAAGCGCAATGACGGAAGCGGACATGCATGGAAGCATGGACCGCTTTGCTTGCCTGCATCTGCAGAAAGTTCGAAATAACACTTGCACATCGTGGATGCCATACTGAAGCAGATTCAACTACGATAGAACGGCCACATCGTGAAGATGAGAGAGGATTGTGTGGCGAGAGGTCTCTGTTAAGAGGACGTCCCGACGGGAACTCTCAGACAGGGTGAACAGAGCGACTTCATCACAATGATACATCAGACGTCTCCCGCAAATTCCGTCCGATGAATCGAGAAATCACGGAAACGCCTGCACAGGTCGGGTAGACATAGCGAACAGCTACCAAAACTACGCCAGTCATCCTCAAGGACAACCGAATAGATGAGAGCATGGCTGAACCACAAAAACGCAAGGCTGGAATGGTCTGAAACAACTCCACCCAGTGTCATGCCATGTCAATATGTCCCAAGTTTAAACGCACATCCAAGGCGTAGATTGGTTTAGTTAGATAGCATCGGGTTTGAAGAGGTTACAAAATGACCAACGAAGCCACATCAAGGCGAAACATTGTAGTCAGGGATGAAGCTGCCGCCACCATCACCTAACTTCATTGTAACAGCCTATCCTAATCTTTGTTGTCCCCGATCGTGGATGTCTGTGTTCACCGCTATCGGAACGCCGCCAGAACACAAGGGACACCCACCATCAGCAGCTGCTTCAATGAGGACACAAAAGCAAATCGACTGCACGGTGACCGCACATCCCGATCATGCCTCAGTGTGATTGGTCTCCTCTGAATTCACGGTAGCGTGAGTGGAGCAGTCTCACATGCTGATGGACGTATACCGTGACGACCGACCCGAGATCAGCGTCGATGGCAGGACCGATGGCCAAGTTCTCAATATTCGGCACATGCAGGCATCAAAGCGTCTCTCCACGACTACCGTCCAGCATTGGCTCTTCGCGGACGACTGGGCACTCGACACCGCGAGAGACGAGAACATGCAGCGGAGTCTGGACGTCTTCGTCTCCGACTGCGCCAACCTTCGGGCTGACCATCAACGCGAAAAAATGGTGGTCATGTATCAACCGCCGCGCAACGCTCTATGCAATGTTCCACGGATTAACATAAACGGCATCTAACTGAAAACCATGGACAACTTCGCCTACTTAGACAACACACTGTCCCACAGAGTCAAAGTCCACGATGAAGTGTACGCCGGATCTCAAAGCCTGTCAAACCTTCGACCGTCTGTAGAATGTAGTATGGCATCGCCGCGGTCTCCACCTCAACAGCAAACTGAAGATGTGCAGAGCTATCATCTTGGCAGTTCTGTTGTATGGTGCGCAGCCCTGGATACTCTACGAGAAATAGGTGCGTAATCTCAATCATTTCTCCCTCAGTTGACTCCACCTGAAACAAAAGCTAAGGTGGCAGGAGAGGATTCCGGACACAGAGGTTCTGAAGCCGACCGAAATCCTCGCTATCCATGCCATGGTTTAGGCAATTACATCTATAATGGAGAGGGCACTTGGTGAGGATGGAGGAAGAGCGGCTCCCAAATGACTCTTGCATGAAAATTTCGTCAACAGTGCTCGCCAGAAGAGAAATATATATTACATCGATTTTTGCCTGTCCGAAATAACATGCGTATTCTTTGAGGAATACTATTTCTATGATCGCTCACACACTGACTGGCGTAACTGTCGTTGTTCGAGACGAGACGCGGATGTCGCCTTCGCCATCCAGATCGACATCGTGGAACTACTGCCCTGTTTGCCGTAGGGCATCAACGATCGCTGATGATCCTCCGTCTGCCTCTCCGGGGTGGGGGCAAATTCGCCACCATCATCAGCTCCTACGCTCCCCCGATGACCAGTCCCGACGCCGCAAGTGACAAATTCTATGAGGACCTGCACGACCTCCTGGAGACTGTGTCGAAGGCGGACAAGTTGATATTCCTTGGTGACTTAAACTTCCGCATCTGCACAGCCCATGCTGCCTGGAGAGGAGTGCTAAGTTCCCATGGTCTCCGCGGATCAAACGATAATTTCCTGCTCCTTCTCCGTACCTGCGCAGAACACCGTCTCATCCTGACCAACACCTTCTTCTGTCTGCCGGAGCTAGAGAAGGCCACCTGGATGCATCCTCATTCGCTTCAGTGGTACCTGCTGGAATATGTCCTCGTCCGGAGGCGAGACCAGAGTGACGTGCTAATGCCAAAGGCGATCGCGGTTGCTGACTGGTGGACCGACCATCGCCTCGTCATCTCGAAGATGCGTATTCGCCTACCGCTTCGCACGAGACCACAAAGTAAGCGACACCCAGGTAAGGTGAATATTGGCCTGTTGTTTTTGCCCGCTCACAATCTCCATTTCAGCAACGAGCTAGCTCGACGACCAGATAACCTTGCAATCACTCCCGCTGCCGCCGACGCCCTTGCCGTGAACGCCTCCGTGGGGAACCGATGGTGTCAACTGCAGAACACAGTCCAGTCGACGGCGCTAGCCGTCCTCGTTCGCGCGCGCCGCCAACACCAGGACTGGTTCGACGACAACGAAGCCGTCATCAGCAACCTGCTCACCGAGAAGGACCGCCTACACAAAGCCTACTTAGACCACCCCACCGATGGCAACTTAGCTGCTTTCAACCGCAGTCGTCAACTCCTACAACAGCGACTGCACGAGATGCAGGGCGCCTGGACGCCTCGCAAGGCTGAGGAGATCCAAGGGCACGGGACCGCAACGAATGGAAGAACTTCTTCTCCGCGATCAAAGTTGTCCACGGTTCGCCGACCAAAGTCACTGCTCCTCTCCTCAGCGCCGACGGCAGTAGCCTCCTGACTGAGAAGACACAAATTCTACAGGGGTGGGCCAAGCATTTCCGAGGCGTACTCAACCGCCCCTCCACCATCTCCGACGCAGTCATCGCCCGTTTGCCGCAAGTGGAGACCAACGTGGACCTCGACCTCCCGCCCTCTCTCCAGGAAACCATCAGGGCCGTGCAGCAGCTCTCCAGCGGGAAAACGCCCGGATCGGACGCGATCCCTGCTGAGGTCTACAAGCACGGAGGTCCCCAACTAATGGATCACCTGACTGCCCTCTTCTACGAGATGTGGCATCAAGGTGAAGTCCCGCAAGATTTCAAGGACGCAACAATCGTTCATCTGTACAAGCGGAAAGGGAACCGCCAGCTCTGTGACAATCACCGCGGCATCTCCTTACTGAACATTGTCGAGAAAATCTTCGCTCGCATCCTCCTCAACCGCCTGAATAATCATCTAGAATAGGGCCTTCTGCCGGAAAGCCAGTGCGGTTTCCGCCGTTAGTGCGGGGCCGCGGATATGATCTTTGTCGCCCGTCAAATACAGGAGAAGTGCCAGGATATGCGGACCCACCTGTACTCTACCTTCGTGGACCTGACGAAAGCCTTCGACACGGTGATTCGTGAAGGACTGTGGAAGATCATGCAGAAATTCGGCTGTCCGGAGAGATTCATTCAGATAGTTCGTCAGCTCCACGACGGCATGATGACGCGAGTCACGGACAACGGAGCTGTCTCAGAGGCATTCGCAGTGACCAACGGCGTGACGCGGGGATGCATCCTGACGCCCATCCTCTTCAGTCTTATGTTCTCTGCCATGATGATGGACGCTTACCGTGATGAACGTCCAGGGATCCGCATCGCCTACAGAACGGACGGTCACCTTCTGAATCAACGGCGGATGCACTTCCAATCGCGCGTATCCACAACCACCGTTCACGAACTTCCCCTCGCCGACGACTGCGCCCTGAACACCACCTCGTAAGAGGACATGCAACGGAGCATGGACCTGTTCTCAGCCGCCTGCGAGAACTTCGGTCTGGTCATTAACACACAGAAGACGGTGGTGATGCACCAACCGCCACCCCACTCAGTCACAGCCCCCAACGCGCCGCCGCAAATCAGCGTGAACGGAACCCAAATGCAAGTGGTGGAGAACTTCCCGTTCCTGAGTAGTACCCTCCCGCCAGTAGGGCGGAATTGACGGCCGTCCCGACTCACCCACCACGTCCAGCCCCACACTCACTTCAACGCCCTGTGCGCCCATCACCATCACCACCACCGCCGCCGCCGCCGCCGCCGCCGCCACCACCACCACCACCACTACCACCACCACCGACTCCTCCGAAGCCGACACCGACGGCTTCTCATTCCCATACTGTCTCAGCACATTCATCTCTCACATTGGCCTGGTCGGTCACTTGCGAATCCATCGCACAGAGACTGGCGAACCAGTGCCTGGGGCACCAGCCTACACCCACCGCACTCGCCTCCACTGCCCTCACACCTTCACGAATCGCATGGGCCTATTCGGCCAAATGCACATCCACGAGAGCGGAATTGACCGCAACACCGACACACCCACGACACCCAGCACATCCACCACGCCCAGTCCCACCCTCGCTCCATCGCCCTGCGCGCCAAGCACCATCACCGCCTCCTCCGTAGCTGACACTGACACCGCCGAAATCATCTGCCCAAACTGTTCACGCACATTCGCCTCACGCATCGGCCTGGTCGGTCACTTGAGAATCCGTCGCACAGAGACTGGCGAACCAGTGCCTGGAGCACCAACCTATACCTACCACGCTCGACTCAGCTGCCCACACTGCCCTCGCACCTTCAGGCATCGCATGGGCCTATTCGGCCACATGCACATCCACGAGAGCGGAATTGACCGCAACTCCGACACACCCACGACACCGAGCACATCCACCACGCCCAGTCACACGCTCGCTCCACCCGTCTGCGCCACCACCACCGCCGCCTCTGTCGCTGACACTGACGCCGCCGACTTCTCATGCCAACACTGTCCACGCACATTCACCTCACGCATCGGCCTGGTCGGTCACTTGCGAATCCATCGCACAGAGACTGGCGAACCAGTGCCTGGAGAACCAACCTATACCCACCAAGCTCGTCTCAACTGCCCACACTGCCCTCGCACCTTCAGACATCGCATGGGCTTATTCGGCCACATGCGCATCCACAACGACCTGCGGTAGACAACCGCCGGTCACACCACACATCCACTCACTCCCTACCTCCCAACACCATCACCCCACCAGACATCAACACTCACACACCTCATGCACCCAACTGCCACCTCCCACGCAAGTGGGAAGTCCGCATCTCGACTCGGTCCCCAGGCGGCTTCGGCTGCAGGGGTGACTTGAGCCCGAGACTATCCCGACACGTCAAGCGTCGTGGATAGGAAGGTTGCTGATTGACGCCCGCTCTCGGTTCACGCAGTTCGTCGCGTTGTGTGTGTGTGTGTTGTGTGGAGTGGCGGACTGGTGGGCTGGGCGGAGGGCTGAAACAGCACCTTCCACGGCACTCTCACGCAAGTGAGAGACACGCCGTTCAACTCTCGTTGTGTGAAATCCTGGTGTTTGTGGGCGTATGGGGGGCCAGGTCGTGCTGTGGTGCGCGCAGTCATGGTCCGTCGACCATGACAGCCACCGCGCCCATTTCCCGCTCCAGTCTGCTGACCGGCTCGGACAGCGGCTGGGGTGTGGGAGTGGGAAGGGAGAGTGAGGTCGACGACTCAGCGCACTTCCTCCTCACTATAAACAATCTGACGCACATGAAGTTATCATGGTACGCGAAAAGCCGTGGCTTGGAATGTTGCCAACTGACGGGATAACTTGGACCTCCTCCATTACTGGAGGCGGTCTGAGAGTCAGGTTGCAATGGCTCCTTTCTAATGTGGCATTTATGGCACTCCCATCACAATGTGGGATCCGAGCCAGGCGTCGGCGGCACGCCTAGGTGCGACTTCGGCCGTGCCAGCCTCCGAATCTCTGTTGTGTTGGTTGAAATCCTGGTCATTTGTTGTGTGGAACAGGGAGTGTGGTGGAACGCCAAGGTGAGGATCCGTCCGAGCCCTCTACCTGCGGCTTCCCTCGTCTCCGGTCTTCTTGACTCTGTCTTGACATAGGGCTCAGGCGAGGGAGGAGGAGAGAGTGTAGGTAGATGCTACGCAAGTCTACTGGCACTATAAACCCCTGCTTAAGTCGCCGTCCCTGCTCCCATTGCTGCTGCAGCTGTGGGGCACACGGTGGACATCATCAAAATCGATGGTCGAACTGTCGTGTAGTGTGTTTGTGTGTGTGTGTGTGTGTGTGTGTGTGTGTCTGAGGGGCCAAGTCTTGCACGTGGCGACGCAGAAACGGTCACTCGACCATACCAGCCATCACACCCATTCCCTCCACTCCAGTCTGCTGACCGGTTCGGACAGTGGCTGGGGTGAGGGCATGGGAAGGGAGAGTGAGGTCAACGACTCAGTTCATTCTCCTCCTCACTATAAACAATCTGACGCACTTGAAGCTGTCATGGTGCACTAAAAGCTTGGAATGTTGCCAAATGACGGGATAACTTGGACCTCTCAGACGGCCCAGTGCTGTGCGTTTGTGTGGAGTGGTCGACTAGTGGATTGAGAGTCAGGCTGCAATGGCACCTTCTTAATGTAGCCCCTCTGTGGGATTCGGGCCGATGTTGGGACACGCAAATTGTTGTCGTGTCAGCCACCTGCGTCCTCTCTCACCTCAGGTTTTCTTGATTCTGTCATAACACCGGACCCAGGTGGAGCGGAAGAGTGTGAGGTAGGTGCGGCGAAAGTCTACCATCGCTTAGAACGAATTCAAGCGCAAGTCGCTGCTCCTGTTGCCACCTTATTGTGGGGCAAACGGTGGACATCGCCAGAATCGACGGTGAACTGTCGTGCGTAAAAGATTTGAGTGAATGTTAGGCGGACTGCACTATCTAGCTTATAGAAAACGTGGACTTTTATCCGACAGTCTATTGGGTGGCACTTGGAGACGGAAAGACCTGTGACGTGAAAATACAGCCCTATCCTGCCGGAGTTCGCACAAATCAAAGCTTTCTTTTCACCCTCCCATCTCGTCCCCTCCCCCCTCCCCTCGGTTCCGAATGTCAAAATGCCGTCGATAGTAGAATGGAGGAGCTATTTCGTTGACTTTTCGTCGCATCTTTGCAAGCGTTCTGCTCATGAAAAATCAATGAAGGATCAGGCGGCCGCTGCGGCTTGAGGTTAAGAGCAACTCCCGACACCGATTTTTACCTACCCTACAGAACATGCACAATCTTAGAGGAATGCAATTCCGATGATCGTTCACACATTGACTGGCGGAACCCACGTTATCCGCTTCTGAGGCATTGAACAGAGAGCTGAAACGACTTGCAAATTTTCGGAACCTTTAAGCAGGACATCTCGAGTCATGTTCCCCTGGAACAGGCTGTATCCAGAAGTGTATGCCCAAACTCTTTAATCACCTTCAGACATCGCAACATTAACTCCGCTGCCGCGATTGTCGTCGTGAAAAATTAATCCGGGGAAGGCCCTCATGGTAGGAAATCTACTCGAGAAACGTTAACAGCAACCCTTAAATGTGCTTCCAGTTGATAGTAAAATACACAGAAGTACCTTTCGTACTGAAGTCTATTTAACAAGTCCCATTGATCATCTGTAGACACAGCATAATGGCTTCCTACGCAAAATTTGCCATTCAGTAGAAAGTATACTTGAGCAGTGGCTGTTTTAATTCTACTTTTACCAAAAGTGTGGACAATCGAACACTTGCCTTGTTATGTTCATTTACAGAAATGTCGTCTTTCGAAGAAAAACCGAAGATGTTTCTATGAGCAAGGAATAAGACTACTTTCTGAATCATAGCAAACATTTCTGTGTGCAGCTAAGGTGTCAGAAATAATGAGCACACGGTTCCGCGTGAAGTGG